CAGGCCCTTTTTTGAAGAGGAACCAATGTGCAGCACAATGTTTCCACATGGGCTGGAGCACAATAGCAGGCATGGCTGCAGTGTTGCTAACTTGGCAGCTTTCTCGCTTTATTTAGTGAGTTTTCAGAATCCTCTAGTGACATTTTTTGTAAAGCGACTATTGACAAATATGGAGACTTTTTTTCTGTGTTACTTGAGACTTCGGTGATGAAAGCACGTTCGGCAGCTTGCCGTAAGCCCCTCCCACTTCCCCAAGCTCTGACAGCTGTCAGTCTCACAGCAGAGAGGAGACCCACTCCACTTCATGTCCACACTGCAAATGAATCACACCCTGGATTACAACGTGGGATGTTCCATCCATCCATTATCTTTACCCGTTTATTCCATTTTGGGTCACGGGGGTCGCTGGTGCCCATGTCCAGCAATCACTGTGCGAGGGGCGGGGTACACCCTGGACAGGTTGCAAGTCCATCACAGGGACACATAGAGACAAACAACCATTCACTCTCACTCACACCTAGGGACAATTTAGAGTTACCAATCAGCCTAACATGCATGTTTTTGGTCTGTGAGGAAACCGGAGTACCCGGAGAAAACCCACGCATGCACGGAGAGAACATGCAAACTCCACCCAGAAGGCCCCTGGACCGGGGTTTGAACCAGGGACCTGTTCGCTGAGAGGCAGCAGCTCTACCAGTTGTGCCACCGTGCTGCCCACCCGGGATGTTAATATAATGTAAATATATAACGCTCAATTTCATCAGCAAATCTTTGCATTTCATCTCGGAGTTCTCCATTGTCCTCCATATTGTCCGCTTGTCATCCTGACTTTCTGAACACAGTGAATTCATGATTTGAAGGTAGCTGGGCCAAGCAGAGCTCAGCGAGGGGAATACTTTGCTGTGATTGGTCAAAAAAGATAAAGAAAACCCCGTCCGCTCATTTGAATATAAGAACATGAAATAAAAAGCGCTTTAAATGAAAAACGGGGTTTAAAAATAAAAGCCCCTGAAATATGTACAGTAGCTTTACAAAATAAAAGTGGCACAAAATGAAACTCCATTATTAAACAAATAAATAAATCTTGAAATAAAAGAAAAAAATCTTGAAATAAATAAAAAATAAATCTTGGAGAAAAAGCTAAACATTTCTATTTAAATGTTTTATTTCATGGGAACATTTATTTATTTAGAGTCAGAGTCAGAGTTTCTTTATTGTCATTCGCAGCTCATGTGGTACATGTGGTGGAGCGAAATTATGTACACGGGGTCCCAGTTACATCCAACAATAAAATGTATAAGAAAAACGGTAATAACATCTAAGATATGAACTAAGAAAAACATCAACTAAATATACACTAAGCACTCATAACATAATGGAATATTGATTAATAATTTTTAAACAACACTATGTATTTAATTAGGCAGCACGGTGGCACAACTGGTAGAGCTGCTGCCTCTCAGTGAGCAGGTCCTTGGTTCAAACCCCGGTCCAGGGGCCTTTCTGGGTGGAGTTTGCATGTTCTCTCCGTGCATGCGTGGGTTTCCTCCAGGTACTCCAGTTTCCTCCCACAGACCAAAAACATGCATGTTAGGCTGATTGGTAACTCTAAATTGTCCCTAGGTGTGAGTGAGAGAGTGAATGGTTGTTTGTCTCATTTGTCTCTATGTGTCCCTGTGATGGACTGGAGACCCGTTCAGGGTGTACCCCGCCCCTCGCACAGTGATTGCTGGACATGGGCACCGGCGACCCCCGTGACCCAAAATGGAATAAGCGGGTAAATATAATGGATGGATGGATGCTCAATATAAATGTGGGTGATGCCTCAACTACGCGCACAATAAGTTTTAGCTAATATTTGTAAAACTGAATGAAATATTGCTACTTTTGAGTTGGCTAAAACAGATCATCTGTGGCAGCCAACTTGAATTGGATCGACTCCAAAATGAACCGTAATCAGCTTTAATTATTTATTTCCTGAACGTTTCATTAAAATCCATCTGGTGGCTCATAAAATAATTTGCTTGTTGTTCCCAGGAAAACCCAACACAACTTCTGTTTGAGGCTTCCTGTGTGCAGCGATGAGTGTATGTCAGAGCGATGTGAAGATTTTATGAATGAGGCCCGAGTGAATTCAGCTTTTTCTCTTTCTGATAGTTTTTATCAAGTTAGTCACATAAAGGAACACATTCTTCAAGACTGGGACAGAAGGTGAAACGTCAGCAGTCTAAAGGTTTTAAACCTTCTAACTAATAGTACTCCACTGTAAAATCTGCTCCAGACTACCCCACCACCTAATGACAGATGCACCGTCTATAAACCTTCAACATCTCAGCTGTTCCCCAAAAGACTCCTGAAAATGAAACAGCTGACAGTAAAACTCTTCTGTCTGCCGGCCTTCAAACACTTTCTTGTCAAATAAATCCAAGGCTCCACTGGATCTGTTTACTGGAGGGGCGGTGGCCATTCTTTCATGGTTAAAGATAGATAGGTTTGATAAATTAGTCCAGATGGCACAAACTTCCCTCCTGCTCTCTACTACTGAACATTAGTTTTTATTTTGCATTTTTGAAGATGACTCCATGGACAAATAACTTCAATACTTTTTTGTACACTCACCATGAAAGTGTCAGGTAATTCCATACTTTGTAAATGTATTATCAAATGCAGGAAGACGGAGAAATTTAAAATGTCTCATGAAATGGAGGTGCTGTGTTGTGCTTCACTGTTGAACTGAAGCAGCACGTGGAGAAGGTTGACTGTGATGCTCGTTTCAGGCCACGCAGCAGTAAAACGCAGAGTTCTGCTTACCTCTGCAAGGCTGCCAGGCTTCCTTAGGACTAACTGGGGGTCACCTAATGGGATTATATGGGTTGGATGCCATCATAAATGAAGTCCCCAGAGTGGAGCAGGGAGCCCCGGCTATCCTTTAACCCTCTTTAAAGCGAAACCTTTCACAGTCCGTCAGACAGCCGTGCTGACTGTACCAGCCCTGCTGCTGTTCTTACACACAATAAGGTCTTCTGACTGATTTAAGAGGTACCAAATATCGAATTCATATTCATACTTTTTCAAAGCTTATTCCCAAGAGAATTGATTAATTCTGGTTTTGTTGTAGACATAAGAGTTAACAATTAAAGATCACATTGAAATCCAGAAAAAAAATCATACAGTATTTTTCGCTATATAAATTACACCTTTTTGCATAAATTAGCATGCCCTGCGACTCATGCAGTGAAGCGACTTATTTATTTTCCCCCCCCATATTTATAATCCGATTTATGGCTGAGATCTGACAATTTCATTCATTCTGACATGGAAAATATTGAACACTACCGTTTCAGCACACACACACACACACGCACGCACGCACGCACGCACACACACACACACACACACACACACACACACACACACACACACACAAAAGAAACTGTCCAGATGACCTGACTGAAAATTGTTGGACTGTATACCTGGATTATTGAGCATGGACTTTGTTGGTTTTGAACCAGTTTACCATGACTGTCGACAAGGAAGAGGGCCAGCACCAGAGGAGGGGGTGTGCCAAAGAGACCATCTTAGCACCAACATAACTGGTTTGTTCCACTTTGGAGTAAGATGTTGGGGGAAGAATCAGTTTTGTGGAAGGTGAAACGTTTCAGCACAAAAAAAGAAACTGTCCAGATGACCTGACTGAAAATTGTTTGATTGTATACCTGGATTATTGAGCATGGACTTTGTTGGTATTGAACACTAACATTTTCAGCTGCTAGAGGGCCCTCAAGTAATATGGCAAGCCAAGTGTCTCATTAACAAGTAAAAGGAAATGGACTATACTTATATAACGCCTTTCTATCTTATCAAGACACTCAAAGCTCTTTACACTACAGTATGTGTCCTCATTTACCCATTCATACATAACTCTATATCTGCAGAGCTAATTGAACAAATCATTCAAGGGAATAATCAGTGCTTTATCACATTCATACACCGATGGGACACACATCGGAGGCAATGAGGGGTTCAGTGTCTTGCCCAGGGACACTTCGGCATGTTTGTATTAATGAGACAATTGGCTTGCCATACCAAGTCACCTTCGTCTCGCTCCAGAACTCCTGGAGCAAATGTCAAATCTGCTACATTTTTCTGCACCGCCCAGGCGAAATGCAGCTGATTTGACCATTGCAGTGCATTTATTAAGAAAAAGTTCAACTGAGACACACCTTTACTACAAAGTTGATCAAACAAATAATAGTTTTTAGGTGTTTATCTTGTTAAATTTTGAAGAAATGAACAGCAAGTCCTCCCTCTGTGAGCTCCTGCAGCCTCGATTTAGCTTTTGAAATGCAGCTGATTTGACCGTTAAAAGTCCTTTTAATAAGGAAAAGTTCAACTAAGACACACCTTTGATATAATTTCGAGCAAGCAAATAATTGTTTTTAAGTGTTAATCTTGTTAAATTCTTGTTAAAGTCCTCCTGTGCACGTTCCCACGGCCGCCATTTGGCAGCCCATCGATTTTTGGCACAACACTGGCCCACGTTTCCGGGTGGTCAGCGGTGATGCATAATAAATGCGACTTATATGGCGAAGCGACGCATTCATTTTTTCCCACTTTATTAGACATATTTGGACTGATGCGACATATACGACGGTGCAAAGTGTACAGCAGCAAATATGGTACTTGCTTTTGCTTAAACAGTCAACATTTTGGGTGATAATGAAAAACATTTTACATCTCATCTTATACTTCTGTAGGATTGTTAAAACGACAGTTAAATTTATTCCTTAGAAAGCCTGCACAGTATTTCATTATAAATGTTTGGTACAAATAATTCCTTTAATCAATGCAGACACACTCTCCAATTTATATGGTTTGTTGTGCTGGATTTCACTGGATGTTATACAGATATCATGTTTTATTTTGACCACTGAGCTGATCTATATGCACCACTCTCCTCCATGCATGCTAATTGTGTATGTGTGCTTTATTTTCTGTAGAAATGTGAGCTCAGACGGTGCAGAGGCTCGGCGCAGACTGAGGGAGTGTGAGGGGTTGGTTGACGCTCTGCTGCACGCTCTTCAGTCGGCCGTCGGGAAGAAAGACATGGACAACAAGGTAAAAGGAGAACGTGTTGACGAGTTCAGCCCAATATGAATTGTTTAAGTCATTAGTAAAAGGTTATTAAATTCAAGTACAAGGTGGTCAGCTGGGACGATGGATATGGGGGTGGGGGTCCTGAGGCATTTTATAATTTGGTGCATTCTGAGTGTAATATCATGGTACAAAAGAAAGAAGTTTAAAACTGATTTATTGACACAATCTTATTGCTCTGACAACTGAAGGTGTTGATGACTGCAACTGCATTTAAGTAAACACGACAGCCTAATTTTAATTTAAAAAAAACAACAACTCTGAACTGAATTTCACTCTAACGTTTGTTCAGTTCCAAGTGACTTGTTTAATCTTGTAAAAATTCTCCATATTTTGCCACCGTTTCCAATTCAACTCTTAAATCAACGTTAAAATGTGGCGTAAATGTCTGATTCCTAAATGTGATTTAGGTGAAAATACAGACATTTCTGTTGATGTTACTGATTATATGGATGTTTATGTAAAATGCCCTGAGGACAGTTTTGTTGTGAATTAGCACTTGATAGGAAAACTTAATTGAATTTTACAGCCTGATACTTTTTTGTTTGTAGACTTTCTCTAAACCCATCAATAGTGTTGCATTTTGTCTGTTTCTTCATATGTACTTAAAACTAAACTAAAAACAACACCTGCTGCACATACTTTAAATTTAAATCTTCAACACTTGCTCTTGTCAAGGGCGGACGTCTCCTCCTCTCCCTCTCCGCTTTGCTTTTGCTCTGTCTGTCTGTGAAACTGCTTTAGAGCCTCTTTTCTACAAATCTTCCAAATCATAACTATGGACTTGGATTTGATCAGTTGGTCCCTCAACACAACTGATAACATTTCTTTGAAAAGAAGACCGGCTTTAGGCGAGCTGATTTGCCCTGTTGGCACACACACAGCTGGATATCTCATCGACTTGGAAGACTTGATGACGTGTCTACCTCTGTTGCCATGTGTGGATTTTAAGGACACATATATAATTGGATTTATGATAACTGGTTCCTGCTTTTTGGATTCGTCTGGTTCCTGGTCTATCAACAATCAAGGAAGTTGTCGGCAGCAAATTTGGACCCGATCTGGCTGCTTGCCGTATGATGGCTTGGTTCGTGCCTCGAGCACCCAGACTCAAATGCTTTTGGCAGAATGGATCAGATCTCGGGGATTATTCTCAGGCACGGTCCATAGGTGGCCATGTAATTTGGACATTTTGGAACGGAGTGGACGGACACAGACTCAAGGTAGATGTCTAAGTTCTGCCTGTCCCCAAAACAATTGTGTTTATTTAAATTTGGCTCCCTGACTGGACTTGACAAGCCGCTTTATCTTAATTCGCCAGGAAGTTTTGTAAACCTGAAGCTCTACTCCTCCCTCCCCTCCTACCGAGGAATTTCCTTATACTTATCAGAGGAGCCCAGCTGAATAAACATTCTGTCATTGGTTCAGGACTCTTTGGATTCGTCCTTGGTCATCCTCGGCACTCCCTGAGTGTGCACGGATCTCTCCAGAGGGAACTATTTGAACAGAGTGGTTTTATCTGAACTCTGCAGTGCCTCTGTGTGTTGTCTCTGGACATTCTCACCGCCCTTGCTTCCCTCCCCTCCAGCGTAATGCCGGCGTCATCATGTGCGAGTGTGCAAGATTTTTTTCATTATCACTCTGTTGACCTTCAATCAGAGGTTTAAAGCATGTTAGGATTTTTTTGTGTGTCTCCAAACCTTATGTGTTATTTTTTACCACTTTTTATTGTTTGTCCAAACAGATCTCACTTGTAAATGAGTCTTCGAGGTTCAATGTGACTTATCTGTTTAAATAAAGGTTGAATGAAAAATATTGGTAATTATTGGAATATCAGAGAGAGGGAATGTTTATTCAGATAATTTGATTTAATGTATTTATCACAAATGAAATTAGTCATAATAAACGTAAACCCATCAATTTTGTGTGTACACTTACCCACACATTTATTTTCCAGAAATATCGTCAATGGCTGCAACATTAATCTCTTTGGAGATGTTTGCAGTGTCCTCCAGTGTCAGAATAAAATTATTAAAATTTAACAAAATCTTACTCTGGCAGAATTATTTCCTGTCAGGAACAATGATCGAATATAGAAATACTAGACAACACGCCTCTGCCTTTTTCTTTATTGGGAATTGATGCCAGCAGGATACAGTTCAGGGGAGCAGCCATTTTGTAGCGATGTGGGGCTTTTCTTCCCACCTACTTACCTGTGCACAGTTATGACGTTTGTTGACATGGACATGCTACAACTAATTGCAACTTAAAACTTGTAAAGGGACCAGCCTCTGGTTTTAACATGCGGGATCTTGTATGACGTCTAGTATTTGCATATACTGTCAATGGTTAGACCAAATAATTATTTATAAAGTAGGAGGAAATATCTGAGGCTGTATCAAGACCTCCTGATGCTCCTGTTGGAAAACACTCTAATGCTATTTCTCTTTCTTTTAGTCTGTTGAGAATTGCGTCTGCATTATGAGGAACCTCTCCTACCATGTCCACAAAGAGGTACCAGGGGCTGAAAGGTTCCAGGATCCATCGGCACTACAGGCCCCTGGATCAGCAGGACCACAGAGGAAGAAGAAAGACGATGCCGGCTGCTTCGGAGGCAAGAAAGCCAAAGGTAGGAGAAAGAAAAATAAACAGACAATAAAATAAAAGATAAATAATAATTTTATTTTAAAACTGGGATAATATAATTTGCAGCATGGAGAGATTGTAGCTGTTCCTGCCTTTTGGCATCGTGCTCCATACATGGAAACTTCATTGTTCTCCCAGGCTGTTGGGAAAATGACAGTTATCTCTTCGCTGTCCAACATTAACGGCTGCCATTAATCAGTCAGCCAATGAGATGTGACAAACAGCCAGTAACCCTCCATTCTGATGACTCTTCAGAGCCCTGTCAGTTCAGGGGTCAGAACAACACTAAGCTTACAAGTATAGACATTCACACAGAAATCAATTACCCACATTTACACAGGCTTAAATAAGAAGAGACTCTGAGCTCGCTGAGGGGCAAGACGTCTGCACAGGGACTTTAAATAAAACTATACATGGTAATAAAGATACTTAGCAACACTGCCTGTGAAAAAGTTTATGCTTTTTGGATGTTTTTTCTCCTCTTCTCTGATAGTGAATCTCAAAAAGCTCTTAAACAATCGTTATCATTTTGTGCTGCATTGGTGTGTTTCACTATTAACGCTGTATCTTGCCTTACTGATGGTGGAATCTGATTTATATTTAAGTCAGATTAAGTCTCTGCTTTATCCCCAACTTTAACAATCTATAAATCTTTTCCAAATTGTCTCTGTTTAAAGCCGTTCTCACTGTTTTCTAGGACACACACCCTCAGCCATTAGCCAACTGTGTCTTCTTTATGATAATTTGAATTAGTCACCTTTAGAAAAGTGTTACTGCTTTTTGTTTCATTTTGTCAAAGAAGTTTAAAAAATCTGTTTACACAACTTTCACTTCAGCGCCTTGGCACACACACAAACACACATTTTTTACCATGCTTCTTCTCTTTTCTCCTGCTTTGTGTCTTTTGGCATTGCTGCTGCTTCCTTGGCTAACTATAGAGGAATGGTTTAATCAAGGTGAGTGCCCCCACCCTCCCTTTCAAACTTTCTTTCTTCAGCTCCTCTCCTCCTCCTCTCCATCCTGCCTTTCTCCTTCCTTCCTACTCCCCCGTGGCTGTAGCAGTACTGTTAGAAATAGTTTTGGGTGCCCTCCAAAAACCAGAGAAAAGTTACAAGGACTTCAAAAAATGGTAGCGTTTCATTCATTCCACATACCCAACAACCACGTCAGAAGTTTTTAGACTCAGGTTTTTACTTTTCAGACTTTTGAAACTTCTCTGTTTGGTAGATTTGAGGTCAAAAGCGTGTTAGGATTTATTTTTTTTTGTCTCCAAACCCTATGTATCATTTTTCACCACTTTTTATTGTCTGTCCAAACAGTTCTCACTCGTTAATGAGGCTTCAAGGCTCAATGTGACTTATCTGTTTAAATAAAGGTTGAATGAATGAATGAAAATGTGTTTTTCTTGGATATTAATAACAAGTAAAAGGTAAAGATAGTCTAGTGAAAATAGCCAATTTGTTGTATTTCACAGTTTAAACAGCTTAAACTGTGTGTTTTGTCACAACTGGCTGTTAAAGTATAAATGTCAGGATATGCTGGGGAGACTGTTTCTGTTTGTGATTGTGCTGAAATGTGTGAAAGTGAATTATCACCATCGAGGCAGAGCTTGTTGTTGCTGTTGTTTGTGATGTCTTTGTAATATGACTCAGGGCAATCATTTTGAGTGTGTTAGCATCAAAGACGTACAGTAACTTTAGTTTAAGAGTAATTAATGTCAGATTTAAAATAGAAATCGTTCGTCTTGCTCAGTCTTACCATAAAAATGTTAATTAAAAAACAACAATGCTGAATAATTTCTTTAATGCGTTTTAAGAATAAATAGTTGATTTTCATAACTCAAATAATTATCATTTTACTTTTCATACTCTTTAATATAGAACTGAAGAAGGATTGTGAAATTAAGGATGCCTTGAAACTAAACTCTTCTTATCTAAACCGTTTCAGGACGACTGAAATAAATGGGCTTGTTTGTATTTATGTATTTATTTTTAGGGGAAGTGGTTAGAATGTAGTGCTTCAACTTCTGCTCACGTTGACCCCAGATACTGAAAATTTAACTTCCACTGAGCAGAGGAATCGGTCATTCTGTCCCCATATCATTGTTTTGTCCCAAGGGCATGTCCATGAGCGTGTGATTGGACCATTAGCAGGCTGAGCTGCAGTCGCCCACATTTTCTTTCTGCTAATGCATTATTTAAGGTGCCCAGCTGCTTCTTATATCAGGAATGTGTGCATTTGTGACTGTTTTAGCGCAGAGATACGGTGATTCATAAACGGTGATGGGGCGGCTGTGGCTGAGTGGTTAGAGCAGTCGTCCTCCAATGCAAGAGTTGGGGGTTCGATTCCACCAGCAGTCACATGCTGAAGTGTCCCTGGGCAAGACACTGAACAGCTCATAGCCTCCAATGTGTGTCCCATCAGTGTATGAATATGATAAAGCTCTGATTATTATTTGTAGAGATCTAGTAGAGTGCTGTATGAATGTGTAAATGAGGCACAGATTGTGTTGTAAAGAGCTTTGAGTGTCTTGATAAGACAGAAAGGTGCTATATAAGTACAGTCCATTTGATTATGGTTATTTGTGAGTGTTTATTATTATTATTTACAAGACATACCAGTTGAAGTACATGGTCACAAACTGTCCATGTACTGTACCTTTAAAAGTATTCACCCCCTTGGATGTTTCATGCTTTTATTGCTGTCATAAATCAATCCTAAGCAAAACAATTGTCCATAAATATAAATTCCATCTTTAATGTCAGAGTAAAATCAAATTTCTACAGAGTATTACCAGTAAAAAAAGTAATTTAATTTAAGTAACTGTGTACAATTCACCTCCTTTACAGTGATTGTCCAAATTCAACTCAGACTAATGATTATTGAAGTACAATTTAGAGAATGGATGAAAAATACCCGAAACATCGTGTTTGGCTTGAACGTTTTTTTGAATTTACCCGAAACATCCCCAGGAGTTAAGAGAAATCCAGCATCAAGAACTAGAAGGAATATGGAACGTGTAATGTGTGTAAATCTACCAAGAGCAGGCCGCCCTCACAAACTGAGTGACCGTACAAGAAGGAGAGAGTGAGAGAGACCGCCAACACACCTGTGACCTCTCTGAAGGAGTTACAAGCTTCGGCAGGTGAAATGGGAGAGACTGTGTATACAACAATCGTGAAAACAGTTTAACAAAAAGAGTTGGTTGAAATGGTTAATACATATAAAAATAAACTGTCAACAGATTGCGATGATATTGATATGACTATAGTAAAAGTAACTGACAGTATTGTGTCTCCATTTATTTACGTATTTTATCCTTCAGGACAGGCACATTCCCAGAGAAATTGAAAATAGACAAAGTTATCCCCTTACATAAAGCAGATAACATACATGATTTTACTAATTACAGGAGTTTCTCTACTTTCACAGTTTTCTAAGATAATGGGAAATCTGTTTGTTGTAAGGCTTGACAACTTCATTGGAAAAAAACAAAAACATTTTAATGGAAAACCAGTATGGTTTTAGATCATCTATATCAACATCACTGACATTGATAGATGGTCTGGTCCTCTGGCCATTCAAAAAACAAAACAAAGCAAAACAACAACAAAAATGTAGAAACGTTTCGTCTCTCATCCGAGAGACTTCCTCAGTCTGAGGTGCTGTATTCAGCTCAGTCTCTTAAATAGCACCTTCTCAGGGTGGATCAACCAGTTTGCTGCTGACAACCAAAACCAGCTGATCACATGCTCAAGAAGGACCATCAGCCTAACAATGGATCATTAGCACACTGATTGCTGTTTACTATTCACAGGAGGCTGAGTGATGCTAGCAATAACAGCATTGTAAGAGGGGGACAGTTGAACCCGGAGGCCTCCACCCCTGTTTAATGATGGACGATTTCTTTTCACAAAGATGGCCTCCTTTACTCCTCTCTCAAACCATCGTTCCTCTCTATCTAGGATGTGAACATCTTCATCCCTGAAAGAGTGACCGCTGGCCTGGAGATGAGTGTAGACCGCAGAGTCCTGGCCTGATGATGTTGATCTTCTGTGGTGGGCCATCCTTTTGGCCAGTGGCTGTTTAGTTTCCTCGATGTAAGACTGATCACAGCCCTCCTGACACTGAACAGCATACACAATATTACTCTGTTTGTGCCGGCGGACGGGATCTTTGCGATGAACCAGTCTTGATGAACTGATTATTGAACTGGTCATAATGAACTGAACTGAATACAGCACCTCTGACTGAGGAAGTCTTTCGGATGAAAGACGAAACGTTCTACATTTTTGTTGTTGTTTTGCTTTGTTTTGTTTTTTGAATGTCCAGAGGACCAGATTTAACTTTTTTAGATTATTCTACCTGGATTATTGAGCATGCATCAGGATATTTAAATCTGCATGTTTTAATATTACCTGTGGGGTCCCACAAGGCTCAGTACTTGGTCCCAAATTTTTTATTATGTATTTTAATGACATGTAGAGTGACAAGTACATTTAATTTTGTTGTATTTGCAGATGATACAACTATTTTTTGTTCTGAGGTGGATTTAAAGTAGCTATTGGAGGTTGTCAGAAAATAAATTGATAAAATTAAATGTTGGTTTGATAGAAACAAATTATCTTTAAATTTATCTAAAACCAAATTTATGTTGTTTGGAAATTTAAAAAAGTGATACAAATGTTACACTGGAGATAAATAATGTATTAATTGACAGTGTGTTTGAACAGAAGTGTCTGGGTGTAATTTTGAACCACAAATTTTGTTGGAAACCCCATAGTAAACACTTGTGTAATAAGATGGCTAAACCCATAGGGATATTTGGAAAAATAAGACTTGTCTTGAACATTAAATCTTTGCACATTTTTTATTACACCCTGTTACTGCCATATTATGTTGAAATTTGGGGTAATACATACAAAAGTTCTCTACACAACTTATGCATAATGCAAAAAATAAATAAAATAAATAAATAAAAATGGTAAACAATGTTTGATGTCGTGAACACACCAATCAACTTTTTTTAAATCACAGCTTATGAAATGTATGGATTTGGTACAATTTAAAACTGCACAGGTGATGGTCAAAGCTAGAAATAACATGCTTCTAAAGAATATTCAAAACCCAGAATAGAGAGGGAACCAACAAAGTCCATGCTCAATAATCCATGTATACAATCCAACAATTTTCAGTCAGATCATCTGGACCAGATTTTTTTGTTTGTTTGTTTGTTTGTGCTGAAACGTAAGAAACTGTCCAGATGACCTGACTGAAAATTGTTGAATAGAGAGGGAAGGTACAAACTGAGAGGAAAATTTAATATAAAGCAACCTTGTGTTCGCAGCACTCTTAAAAGCATGTGCATACTGTATCTGTTCATGGAGTGATTTTGTGAAATGACTTGGACAAAGAGATTAAGCAAAGTAAAAATATTGCACAATTTGAGAGAAAATACAAGGATTGCGAAATTAATGTGTATAAAAACAAATAAGATAAAATGATGTTATTCCAACTGTTAACCAAAAAAGTCCATGCTCAATAATCCAGGTATACAATCCAACAATTTTCAGTCAGATCATCTGGGCAGTTTCTTTTTTTTTTTTGCTGAAACATTTCGCCTTCTATCCGGAAGGCTTCATCAGTCAAGGAAACACACAACACAAAACTGATTCTTCCCCCAAACAGCTTACTCCAAAGTGTGTTGTGTTGTGTGTTTCCTTTACTGATGGAGCCTTCCGGATAGAAGGTGAAACCTTTCAGCAAACAAAAAAAAAAGAAACTGTCCAGAGGACCTGACTGAAAATTGTTGGATTGTATACCTGGATTATTGAGCATGAACATTTTTGGTTTTGAACCAGTTCGACATGACTGTCGACGAGGAAAAGGGCCGGCTCCAGAGGAGGGGGCGTGCCAAAGTCACCATCTTAGCACCAACATAACTGGTTTGTTCCACTTTGGAGTAAGCTGTTTGGGGGAAGAATCAGTTTTGTGTTGTGTGTTTCCTTGACTGAAGAAGCCTTCTGGATGGAAGGTGAAACGTTTCAGCAAAAAAAAAAAAAAAAACTGTCCAGAGGACCTGACTGAAAATTGTTGTATTCCAACTGTTAATTTGTTAATTCATGTGTTTGCATATTACGCTTTGATCTGTAGGTGATATAGAATAAATTTGTATCTGCAGGTGTATTTATGTATATGTTGGTATGCATGCATGTTTGCATATATAGTTATATATGTACTGTATGTATGGGTATTTATGTATCTATCGAATCACTAGTTTGATCAGAATTTGTACGTAAACTTGGGGACAGGACAGGATAAGCCTTTGCTTCTTCCTGCTCCCTGTTCAAACATTTTTGTTTTGTTTACAGAATATTTTGTTGGAAATATTTACCTTTTTATTTGTTTTTTTTTGTTTCGTTTTATTGATATTTTAACTGTTCGAAATGAAATAAAGAGAAAAAAAAACTGTTCTCCCAGTTCATCAGCCTGAGCTTTATAAAAGTAGCAAAGAGAAAGACACTTTTGAAAACAACGCTCAATAAACTCAACTACGTTTGCCAAACGGCACGTGGACGACTCCATGGCCAAGTGTTTCTCGACAGCTGGCCTAGTCCAGATTTAATTAGGGTTTTCTCTAACAGCATCTTTCCTGCACTCTCCCCAAAAGCTTAGACTGGTGAAGAACCCAGTGACTCTAAAATGACAGCAATCAATGCATAAAACATCAAAAAGGTGAATCATTTTTAGAGGCACTGTACCAAAGAGAAAAGTCTGAATTTCACCGTTGTGTTTCTACATTCAGCATCACACTTCCAGCCCTCTTTGTTGCACGTTTCCATTTGTGTTTGGCTGTAGACGTCAATACAGTTGCATGGATAAGTACTTCTATTTAAAGTTACCTCATCTACTTTTAATTTAAGTTTTCTTGTCTTCTAGAGACTCTTTTTTTCATTATAAAAAAAATGACATTTTTGAGAACATTAACTATTGGCATCACTTTTTTTATGCCCATATGGATGTCAGGTTAAAACACTTGCATAATCTTCTGTCCCCGCTCTCCTGTGCAGGTAGAAAGAGTGGTGAAAACGACAAAAACTTTGACACGTTGGATCTACCCAAGCGCACAGAGCCGTCCAAAGGTAAGCGCTTGTCTTTTAAGTGAAACATGGGTTTAACCGAGTCCTGACAGAACCTCCTAACAGAGGACGAGTCGTTTGTGTGGAGGCAGGGCAGGTGGGGTCAAGAAAGCAGGAAACCCATGATGGATAAGGTGATGTCTGTTTTTTAGCTGCAGAGTCAGTTGTGTTGGTGGTTTTGTGTTTCCAGTGAGGTAGTTGATTGACAGCTTGGTAAAGCATCAGCTCTGTAAGATCTCTCTGTTAAATATTGTTACGACACACTGACACCAGCAGCCATTTCTGATGCAATGAGCTCCATCAAGTTTGCAGCTGATGAACATCAGTTGACTCTGTTCAACCAGTATTATATTATTATATGTCCCAGCATCATGCATAAATTCCTGCATTAGGATCAAAGCTGAAAAGATGAACCTCTAACTAAACAATTACTTGGTTCATTAAGTAAATAATATTAAAGCTAATGTTTTAGCTTTGGCTTCTTTCTCAGCAGAAGATAAATTAAATGCAAAACGTCCTCATTTCAGATACAAACCAGTTCAAATGTCTGATGAAGATGTGCTTAATTTTTCACAAACACTAGAAAATGACTGATCTGTTCAAAAGTGACTGAATCTGTCCATGTACAGATTTACACACACAGCAGATGTGTAGAAACGGTTCACTGTGCATTTAAACTTGAGCAGAACAACATCTACTATAAGTGATGTCCTAATATTTGGTTTCAATAAACTATTACTTGACAGTAATACATCATTTTTATTTTCAATTTCAATATTTACAGCTAACTTTCACACTCAGCTATTCTGAGAGAAGACGTGAGATAAATGTATTATTTTTTATTCTTGGAACGAGTTCATGCATGTTAATGCATCAAATAGGTAACAAGAAATGTCACAAATTGTAATAAAACCAGTAAACATTTTTGAACCGTATTGGGAGATGGACAGACCTCAGTCTTGCTTCGTGTAATTTGTCACATAAATACATATGCTATGTTAAAAGTGGTGAACATCAGTAGAGCTTTGTCTTCAGACTTTGCAGTTCGACGTAGATTTATTTTCTGATGATTTGTGCATATTTTATGTTCATATGTCGCCTGGTTTTGACGCTTATAGAAAGTTTAAGCAGCCGTGAATGATGTGCATGTGTCAGGGTTGTAGTAGAATATGGATTTGTTGATATGAGTCAGTATGATGATTTATGCTGTGTGCATGTGTGTTTTCAGATCGATACCCATCTGTCTTGTGTTCTGTGTGAAATTGGTCAAACCATTACAGTATGTTGGTTTGTAATTACCTTCATTAATATGACACAGTGTCCTCTCGTTAAATTAGATGATTTGAGTTAATCTGACACTCTTAAAGCAAAAACTAGCAAATGAGCTTCAAGGAAGATAATTAATGTTTTCTATTGACTCAGTTTTCTTGGGTAAAGAGGATCTGTAGTAGCTCTTCATTTATGTCAGACGGCGTGGAAACAACAAACTTTGAATGTTGATCCCAGAGAAGCCACTCATCAGCTTTAAAGGCCTGTAGGATTTAAATGAGTGTGGGCTCACAATGTCGACAGCAGACCAACGTTTCACCATCCGCAGACAGACCAATCAAATCTGGTGTTAATAAGCTTGACTCACGGGCAAATATTGAGAATCGTGAATAATAATTTTAATAAAACACGCTGACTTGTAAAGCACTTCCCCCTACACTTGGAAGTTGCATGAGCCTTCATGACTGTTAGTCTTCACGAAGCTGTTTACTTGTCTGTTGGTTCTTGTACATTACACCACCCATCACCCTCCACCCGCTGCATCACTAAACCCAGCACTGGGCTTTGCAGAGAGAGCAGCTCTCATTTTGATGTGATGGTTTGAGGAGATATGGGAGACTGCATGTGTATCCCTGTCCTGATATGTTGCCAGATAGGAGGAGGTCGTTGTGAGGTTCTGTCTGGATGCGGCAGTGGCCACAGCCATTAATCATTTTGTTGGTGTGTTTGTAAAGTGAAGAAGAAGAAGGGACATCTTTAAATCACAAGTTCTGCAAGAGTTAGAATAAAAAACAGAAGAAAAGCTAACGATCTCTGTAAAAGCTAGAAAAAGAAGATAAACCTGCAATTTATTGTAACTATTTTTAGTAATTTTATTGAATGAATTCTGCTGATTGTAACATTTTGTTAGGCTATCAAGTATTCCTCCGCTCATGCTACAACAGTTCTGTTTGACTTGTTTATTATGAACTGTTTTAATGAACCTTCTCCCCTCACTGCTGTAGCATCTATGTCCATCTTGTACAATAAAACCCAATCATATATCAGGATAATTTTAACAGTTAAACTGACTTTTTAATGTGATGTACAAGATTAGATGCCACCTGGGCTCAAACTCACAGCGACCGGATTATGAGACAGTGGCACTGACCACTGAGCTACCGCTGCCCCCTGTTATCATAAGTTGCAATAAACATGTTACAGGAACAAATGTGTTCTGTTATTTAATAAATCACACTTTTTAGACAGTAATTATATCTAAAACAAATCTGTGGTTATTAATGTTACACAATTGGTTTTCTTTTAATTTAATGGAATAGAGTCATGTTGCAGGTGGTCTGGAGTTCAGGGATTTTATTCATTATGTTTAGACCAGAGACAAAGTGAAAAACAAACGATGAAAAGGGTAAAAAAAAAAAAAAAAACACCACAGAAAAGGTTTTTGGTTGCATAGACACTGTGTCAGTCAGAGCTGATAAAACTCTTTCCCAGCCGTTAACTCGAGCTCCAGCCTTAACCTTTAGATTTGTACAAAGTTCAGTAGAGGCAGGAAGGTGAGGTGCAGCGTGTGAGGGCTCACTGTGCTTTTTTGCAGGGATCATGCCTCCTTTTGTCTAAAATAAAGTCTTGTAAAACTAAAAATCTTATTTGAAAAATCTGTCTGCTAAAGTGTGTTTCAGCCTGAAGAGAAGTTGTTAGGAATAATAATAAAAACAAGATTAGTTTGGGTTCTGAGAAATGCTGCACCTGTCATAAATAATTAGTCTTTACCTTTTTTTGCAGCCCACATCTTTATTTTTCTCCTTCATCGGATATCTTTTACTATTGTCTTCCTCCATCATGTTGATGTATATGGAGGATAAGGAAAACAATAATTTGCATCTTTTCTGGGAATGGGGGAGTGGGGTTGCAATAAATTAAATCTAGTGTTTATTTCTCAGGAAAACTATGAGAAGAGTTTGTTTTTTGACAGTGACACCAGAAAAGCTTGGGTCCTGGTACATGTAGTGTCTCTTACATCGCTTGTGCCATGAGTAAAATCCATCCGTTCATCCATTGTAGGGGGGCCAGAGTCTATCTCTGACAGTTATTGTGTCAGAGGTGGGGTACACCATGGGCATGTTGCAGGTCCAGCACAGGGACACATCAAGACAAACAACTATTCAAACTCTCTCTCACATCTAGGGACAATTTAGAGTTAACCTAGCAGGCATGTTTTTGGTCTGTGGGAGGAAACCCATACATGCATAGGGAGAACATACTAACTTCACACAGAAAGGAGGCGAACATGCAACATTTCCTCTGTGTGGTAGAGGCTCTAACCACTGCTCTTCCATGCTGTCCTGCTTTGAGGTAAAAATTCACGACAGTCAATTGTTTGTAAGTGGACTGTACGTGTATTGCACATTTCTATCTAACCAGACAATCTGTGCCCTCGTTTACCTCCACACACATTCATACAGCACTCCACTACATCTTTACAAATATAATATGAATCTGTAGAGACTAATCAGAGCTTCAGATCACATTCATACACCGATGGGACACACATCAGAGGCAACGAGGGGTTCAGTTTCTTGCCCAGGGACACTTCAAACCACCAACTCTAAAGGACGACTACTTTAACCACTCTGCCACAACCGCCCCTGTAGTCCTCAATATTATCATTATTGTGAATAAAAAAGACTTAATATGTTTGAACATGACTCAACAAAATGAATAAAAATTAAAACTATGATTCAGTAATAACGGTGAATCTTAATGATAGGACCAAAGAATCCCAATATTGTTTGAAAGCGTCACATTTACTGTTTGAGCACGTGTTTGGTCACATCAATTGTTGTATGGACCATTGGAATAATAAGCTAATGTTCAGCCAAGATGTTAAACTAATTTATTTCTTTGAATCAGTGCAAGTTAAATGTACCAATGAAGTTAATTATAGTGTCTTGTTCCGTTGAGTCTGCCATGCTAGATTTGGAACATCTGTACTGAACTGAGTGAAAAACTTTTATATTACACAAGTATCCATCTATCCATCCATTATCTTTACCCACTTCTTTCTTTTTGGGTTGAGGGGGTCACTGGTACCCATGTCCATCAGTCACTGTGCGTCCATCACAGGGACACAAACAACCATTCACTCTCTCACTCACACCTAGGGACAATTCAGAGTTACCAATCAGTCTAACATGCATGTTTTTGGTCTGTGTGAGGAAACCGGAGTACCCGGAGAAAACCCACACATGCACGGAGAGAACATGCAAACTCACCCAGAAAGGCCCCCAACTGGGATTTGAACCGGGAACCTGCTCGCTGCGAGACAGCAGCTCTACCAGTTGCGCCACCATGCTTGCCCCCATTACACAAGTATTTTATCATAAATGGACATACTAAAAAGTTGGCCTAATTATGGTCCTATACAAATAGCTGAAAGATATCTTAAAAAAAAAATCTACCCAGAGTCTTCTGTTGATTTTTTTTTTAACACTTTGCTGTTTTGTGAACATGGCTAGAGAAAGTAATCTTTGTTTTCACACATTGTCAGACTAAAGATATGCATAAATGTACTCAGCTGTACTCCTCTTTCTTGGTTAGATGAAACCTGCATTTTATTTTGAGTAAATTATGTAAACCTTTTTGTTCCAACTTCATCTCAGAGTACTTTTACAACCCAATGTACTTTTTTGACTAACTTCTTTTCCAGTGAAGTTTTCAGATCCCAACAGACCATG